AAACATTCGAGGATGTGTGTCACTGTGGGAAGGGGGTTAGGGGGGCTGGGGTGTTAAATACATGTGCGTCAGAAGTTACAGGATGCGCAAAGTGCTCCAATTAACATGTACACTAGCTGATGTGCTGCGATCAGTTTTATTCTAAAAGTCATTTTTTTTTCTGATTGCTGGAAAGTTCAAGAATAACATCGATTTATGTCCAAGCTTGATTTTTGTGTCTCATCTTTCCCCCACTGTGGTCATCCAGTGCGTCCTGGCATATGATAGATGTCAGGGATAGTCCTATAAATCAATCCAACAACCGGGACTGAACTGCTCATTTGATCATTTATTATAAATATTTACACGATCAGTTATTTTAAAAATATACTACTGTAATGAACGTTTCTGAAAACCATCCGAACAATGGATGGGAAGTCTCCGCACGGCTTTTTTGAGACAGTATTTACTTTTTAGGCCAAATGTTTTATAAACAGGGATAGCCTATTATTTGGATAACAATGAAAGAAAACTGTTTTGCCTTAAGGGAGGAGGTAGTTTAGATTGTCATCATAGAAACAATGCAACTTTATTTTCAAAGTCATCAATAAAAAATCAAACAGGATCAGTTTTTAGAAACACCTACCGGATAAGTGCAGGAGATCCACAAAAGAGCTTCGTTTCCAATTAATGGGCAATAGACGGACCTATGGGCCAAACCGCGAGGACCCTGTGAGGGGCTATGCGGATACCGCTATGGAGTTTCCCAGTGAGTTATGGACATGCCTTCATGATTTTTTTCTCTGTACACTGGCTTTAGCACTTAGTCTATTTTCACGCTTTACGCATGGGGGGCTGCATGCATGGGTTGATGTTTAATCGCTCACCGTGGTGCGTAAAAAGGCGCGTCCTCGTCCTTATCGTCACGTTATCGCTATATCCTTAGGGGAGGTAAATAAAAGGTTTTGCCAAAGCACAGCAGTGATGCAAAGTGTGGTAGGTGACCGCTCTCCCCAGCAGCACAGATCTTTTTTGACACGGACCTACATGCCGATCGGACTAGCGCTGGGACCAGCGCACTTGGTTGTATGTTGGACTTACTGGATCTGACTGGTGCCTTTAACTTGAGCCGTGGAGCGTGTGCATATATTTAATTATTTCACAATGTTCTTAAAAGATGCGCCACCTGTTTGCGAATGTTGCAGAAAACGGGTAGAGGTAAGCTCGCTTGTATTATGATCTCGTTTGGTACGTTCCTTTGTGTGCAGTACCTGTGCGCTGCATCAGGAGCCTGTATGTGCTCAGCAGTTAACGCGTTTATCATGTTGATGATATGGATGTAGCGTGCAGCTATTAGGTTGAGTATTGAGTTCTGAATCTTGAGGTAATTTCAGTTGTATCTGGAGGTCTGGGTTTCTTATGCTTGTTTTCCTAAAAGTTGTGCCAAACTCCAACTCTCATGTTCTGAGACCAACGTGTTAGGACATTTATTCACTGCAGTTCTTGGAAATAGATTGTGTAATGCCACTTCCTAGAAGTCTGATGTACATTAGTCTATGCTGTAAAACTATAATCCTCTTAATAGCCATTAATCATTTAATCTATCCAAAAAAAAAATCCCCTCTAAATGAAGCCAAATTACTGTCAGGTGATGAACATTGAACACCTAATAATGGGGGAACTGACATGTTCAGTCTCTTTTTGAAGCTGACACAAGGCATCATGTTAGTCCTGAGTTAAGCAAGGCACTGAATGTGTTGGAGCTGCTGGTTTGATTCCCACTTGTGCTAAAGATGTGTTATTTCCTGTTCCTGTAAGCCACTGCAGATAAAATGCTCTGTTTTTCTGTCTTGTTCTCAGGGACAATATGCCTTCAGTCAGTTCTTCTCTAGCATGACACAGCACACTGGAAAGTTAAGGGTACTGAATGCGAAAGCTGAATCTGCAGTTTTCGGCACAGTCGTCACATACTTATGTCAGCGGAAAAGAGCAAAGGGTTATCAAAGGCTGACAGCTATAAGGGATTCCAGCAAAGCCAAACAGGAAATGATGTCACGCCTGTGTCATCTGATAGCCGCTAATTTACAACTCTGTACTTTGTCATGGGGAAGACCCCTTCAAAATAGAGAGGAGGTTGAAAGCATTCAAAAGCAACCGTCCCAATACAGAGGTGTACTCTGAATAGTATGTCCCTATCAGCCCTCTGTGCCATTTAAACATTAGTACCATTCCGACTGCATAGTTTCAATTGCCGAGCGCTCTCTGTGCACCTGTTTGACATGGTTAGTTAAAATAGCACATGTCAAAGGCATCAGTTCACGTGAGCATGCGGCCGCCTTTCCAAAGCATCCGTCAGATACCTGGAGTGAAGCTTGCCATTATCCAAAGCACTGCCACTTGTGGACCACCGCTTCCGATTTAAAATAGCAACATGGTTTTGGCCGTAGATGTCAAAGCAGGCAGACAAAGCTCTTAACTTCTAGTTTGGCCACAGTCCTGCAAATTCCACCACCGTGGTAAGAATGTAGAGAGAGAGTGTGCACACACAGTTTAGATTGATGAATTCTCACGTAGGCAATGGCAGAGGTGAAAGGGTCACAGATAATCCTCAAGCTGAGTCACACACATACTTATTTAACAACGTGGCCGCATTTTAGTAAATGACAAATGCCAGAGTGAATGTAAAGGAGTCCCATTAGTTTGTCTGTGCAGACATCACTTTGCATCTGAAATACTATATGAATTGGTATATGTTAAGTATACTTACACTATACAGTTTATTCATTCGTTCTGCTCTAGAGCGATAATGTAGAAAGACCTCCGGGTCTTGTATAAACTTAAAGTATCATAGGAGGTCTGAAAAAGAACATGCAAAAAGATTCAAAGGTTGTAATTTACTTTAAAGTGGACACATTTACAAAAGTCTACTATTAAATTAAGCAGTGTCTAAATAAAGTGGAGCAGCCACTTAACAGCCAACAGTGTAGAAGGACCTGTGTGAAATGCTTTATAGTTTGTCCCATTCAGCATTCATTTCCTGCTATACTGACCTTGTGTATTCATTATGAGTAAATCATTTTAAATGAACATATGAATGACTGTTTAAAAATGCACAGCTATATGTATCAGTGAATGTCACACCATTTATGTGCTTGTCGTGGTGCATTCGTGTTCATGTTCACTGGATTGCAAGTCTGCAGTGATTGTAAGTGGCTGGCTCAGGGGAACAAGCAGGCAGAAATACTGTTCCTAAAGCATATGGTAAAATGAGTAGTTTGTTGAGCTGTGGGACAGTGTCCATGCACTACCCCTGCCAATACAATACATAAAGTTTCTGTGAAACATGTGGGTGGTATGAGTCAGATGTACAGTTAAATATACATAGACTGATCCTGTGTGTCATTGACAGTCTCCTCCACCAAGTTGGCATCACAGAAAAGAGGGTAAAGAGAGGTAAAGTTGATTGATAATTAAACTGACCGCCCACTACTAATGTAGTTAACGTAGTTCAGCTCACTCTCTGCTAGTTTTCTGCGATTCTGGGAATTTAATCTAGCCTGTATCTGGCCTGTGTGCCTGGGATCAACATCAGTATTTTCTATCATACGTCTGCGTCACACATCCAGGCTGCTGTGAAAGAGTGCATTCAGCATGTGGTACAGAGGAACGAGGCTGGATGCCCACATGACCCACAACACTAGAACCACTCTCATTGCCAAGTTTATCCTTAGAGTTCACAGTGTGCTTTCAATGGATGTCTAAAGTTTCTTTCATGGTCACTAAGAAAAGGTTAGATTTCTAAAAAAGGCTGACTAATGGCCCAATTATAGATCCACCCTGTTCTAAAAACAGGTTAACACAAGGAAATGGTTATTTCTGCATTGTCATGATATCTGCAGGTTTTTGATCATCAGAATCCAGGATATCACATGGTCACATGCAAGAATGAAACTAAATGAATGAGATACTGCTTAATCATGCTGAATCATGCTTATTTTACATGATACAGCCCTAAATCACATTAACTGTAATGTTGATGAAAGACTGATCCTTGAGCAGCTAATTGATCCAGATAATGGTTATAAATGCAAGACACAGTGTCCCTAACAGCTCAAAAGGTTGCTAGAATTATATAATTCACACAGACTTCTGACCTCAGTGAACAGAAAATGTGATATCAATAGTTTGTAACATTATTATTTATTCTCATACATACTTTGTTGTCGGATAAGGTCTGATCTGAAGATGTCATAGGACCACAATGGGAATTAAGTATTTGCAGACAAATTAGTTTAATCTGGGGCGGCAGTAGCTCAGTGTGTAGGGACTTGGCTTGGGAACTGGAGGGTCGCCGGTATGGAGTGTGGACTGATAGCTGGAGAGGTACCAGTTTCACCTCCTTGTGCACTGCCAAGGTCTGCCCTTGAGCAACGGCAACCTAACCCGCAAGAACCTGCTCATGGGGCGCTGGTAATGCTTGCAAGCCCCCCCATCACTCCACCATCTCCCCCTCGGTGCATGTCCACAAGTGCCATGGAGGTGTGCATTCAGCCTGTGGCTGTGTGGTGTATTACAAAAAAAAGAGCTGAAAAGAACAATTTGCCCCCTAGGGATCAATTAAGAGTATATCTTCTTCTTCTTAATAATATAAATGATATGATTATACCCCTGAAGGTCACCAGATGTATTTTCACATATAATGCTGTAAGCGTCACTAGATGAGGGTGGTGGGTAGAAAGCTACAAAAGACACAGTTGTTCCAAAGGTCTTGAGGTTTTCATACATTTAAAATGTGAATCAAGATAACAAATGATAAGTGGATTGCTTTGTATTGTTCCCAGTCAAACATTTACCTTGTGTAAATAAATACATAGCAGTTTTTTTGGTTAATGGCTGATGCTGAAATGCGATCTGATCTGATCCAGAGTTTCCCTAAATTGGTGGAGTTTAGTTTTTCTTAAAGATTTGTTAAGGGGAGATCACATATTTTTTTTAAGGATCACATATTTCTTTTAAGAAAAACTAAACTCCACCGTCTGTATTGATATGACTAATTGAGTTTCGTTGTTATAGCTAGACTGACAGTCATGCGCCAAGTGAAAAAAGGAAGACAACCACGCACTGCTACTTTCTATAGGAGTGGTTCTGCAAAGTTCAGTGCCAGAGGGTCGTTTAAGTGTCAGTGAAGCAATAAACTCTTAACAACTACAGCTCAGTAGGCATCTCATGCACATATAATCACAATCAGAAACAAGAACAAGAGTTCATGTATGTGTGGAGGAAAGAAGAAAACCCTCGTAGTTGCTAAACAGTGTTGCTGAAGTAGCATTCTATGGACAGATGAGACAAGCATTAAAATTATGACTGAGAATCTCACTCTAGAACCTTGAGGCGTGGCGCAGAAAGCAAATTGTGTCATTCTGCTAAGTCATGACTTAAACAAACGTTAGTTCATATAAAAGCAAAGGGGTCCCACATGTTGTCTCTTGACCCGCTACTTGCTACTTTTCATCATTTCATCGTTCGCCGGCCTTTGAGTGACTGTCTTTTTGTATCTGTGACTCCAGGACTGCTTGCCTTGCTGTTGATAGTGTTGGAGTGGACCCGGCCAGGCCTACCATCCCCGCTGAGGCCAATCTGTGACCTGAGAGTCCTGAATCATTTCATTAAGGAAGCACAAGACGCAGAAGTCGCTATGGTGAGAGGAAAATGTATGCATGCACTCAGATCTGAGAGCGGGCGAAGCTTGCTGCAGAGATACTGTGGTCCTGGAATCACCCATACTCAACGTTTACCCTAACCTAAACACTAACATCATTACTCTGTTTTCTTAGAAGTCGTGCAGAGAAGGATGCAGCCTGTCAGAGTCTGTCACTGTTCCCCAAACCAGAGTTGAATTTGATGTCTGGGAGAAGAAAAATGTAAGTACCCACTGAAAACAGCTGAATGTTAAAACAGCTGGCAACAGATTTGGATTAACCATAACATGGAATACAAATTAATAGAAATTTACTGCCTTTTAGTGTGTAATATAGTTCATTTCTAATGGGAGAGCTGATTACCTGCTTCCTTTGCTCCTTATCGCTTCCACAATGACACCCTTCAACTCTTGCCTTCTTTATTTTTTCGGCAAGGCACTGGAGCAAGCCCAGGAGGTGCAGTCTGGTTTATGGCTCTTACAACAGGCCCTCAACTTGCTACGGACCTCAGTCACCAACACAGCACTGCAAAGCCACATAGACAACTCAATCAGAAACCTGCTCAGCATCAATGGTGTGCTCCGTAGCCTCAACATCCAGGTGGGTGACAGCAGGTTCAAAGGTACAAATTTAAAGACAACGCTGTGAATGAACTGGCACATTCCCAAAGAAATGTGATTCACTTTGATAGATAGTTGAAATCTTTTTAAATCCTTTTGAAAGATGACAGTTTATCATGTGCACTCTTTGCATTTATTATCTAGTTTAAATATCTATAGTTTTCAATCCGGCTAGCCCACTTGAGATAAGCCAGAGACGTTCCCCAGGGAACACACACCCTGCTCCTTCATTGCTTGTCTTTTGCAAGCATTGTCAACCACCTCTCTAAGTGGTTCATCTCTCTCATCTTAAATTAGGTGGCTTTTACAAGCTTTTGAGGGATTAAAAAAAAAGTTTTAACTTCATAAACCACCATGAAATAACTGAAGCATGTTGGTGATTTGGTCAAAAGAGGATGAAACACAAAAAAGATGAATCTCCCAAATTAAGAATGTTTCTTTGTGTTGTCTTTTAGGAATACACCCCACCAGCAAGTGCAGCAGGGCTTGAGGGAACATGGAGGGTGTCCTCTGCAACGGATTTGCTTCAAGTCTACGTCAACTTCCTGCGAGGCAAAGTGCGCCTCCTTCTTTTGGATGCGCAGGCTTGTCAGCAAGATGTCAGCTGATCAGCTGTTCTCCATACTCCAGGCGAAGCTAATTTGTGTTTCCGAAGGCAAGAGGAGGGACTTGACACTGCTGCTCTGCACGCTGGCTGCTGGAAGCGGTGTGGAAGGAGAGGAAGATGCAGCCATCCTCACATGAGGGGAGGAAGCTGAAAGGAGAAGACAGTCCCAGCTAGGCTTTGGATGGACAGGAGATGATTGCACCTTGGAATGTAGATGGGAAACATGGACACGGTGAAGCACACTCTGACCAAAATGAGGCCTATGGGAAGCACTGCTCAGATAGCTGTTCTACTGGCACTCTCTTGCACTTTGTGTGTGGATGTACTTTTGTGCGCGCGTGCGAGTTAAGTTTAAATCTGTATGTAGTGTGTATGTGTGTCTGTTTCCAGTGAGTTTGACCCCTACACTCACCTCTATAGAGTGAATTGTGGAGTGAAACACCCAGAAAATATTGATTGCACCTGGAAATTGGAGGACTGTGAGGTTGTGACAGAGCATCCATTTCCAATAGCACTGCAAAAAGGCAAAAAATGAATGAGGCCTCACCCCACAAGACTTAACATTTGTCAACTATGCCTCACTGAAACATTAGTCTCCTCTCTTGGATGTTTTTCAGTGAATATTTTAATATATTTTTAAAAGTTGTGTAATGACTATTTATACAGATTTTCTACTTTAAAGCTCCAGTCTTTGTATTTTTTAGTGTCGGATCTATAAGATTTTAGTTGGGCTCTCCTTGCCATGTTCTCACATAACGCTGTTTTGCAAAGCTGTTTAACACCATTCGCAATGACACGCTGCTGTCTTCCTTTTTATACAGATCACTAGCTGTTAGTTTCACATTGCACGTTCTTTCCAAATAACACAACGAAGGACTTAAAAGTGAACGAGGGAGCGCAAGGTCAGTGAGGAGGAGGGTGCAGGGTTACGTGAGAACTGTGAAGTTGTTTTGTCATTATCTGTGTTTTTGTTGCTGCCTAACCAACACTCAACCACTCTCTACACACTGATAGCCAGAGTGTCTGGGAAAATGCTGTGTGGCTTTTACAATTAACATCCTGTGAGCCTGTAATTGCAAATAGTTTTCCAGAATCTGACGCTAACGCTGTCTCTTCCCTCCCTCTATTGTTCGTCATCAAACAGCAGGCCGGCAATCAGTTATTCCTGGGAACTTGAGGCTTTCTATAAAATGGATGCTCAACTATTTAAGATTAGTTAAATGTTCTTCCTTGTTGTTTCCCGTGTTTTTAAATCTTGTTGTCCAACTACAAGATGTTGTTAAGGATGTTTGTACATGTTTTCTTTCCTGTTATTTTTTGTGTTGTTTTGTCCCATCACTGTATAATTTGCTATTTAAATACAAAATATTATTCTTGGATAAAGAAAGGATAGATGGAAACACAACAAGGGGAAGTCTGTCCATTTCATTCATTATCTGTGTCTTGTTCGCGTCACGTGAGAGTTAAATGCGTGTCATTCATTCATATTCTCCTGCCCTTGATGCACAGTTATAAATAGATTCCAGAAAATTTTATTTTTGTCAAGAAATCCAATTCATTGTCTTTACTGAAAACTGTCCCCTACATATTCATTATGAACATAAACACCACCAGCAGTTCAAGGATTTGAAACCAAATTGAAAGAGACTACTGACATCTAGTGGACATTTACTACAACAACACCTTGAAATTGAAACTTAGGATACTTCAGTTTTTATAATTATTTGTATCTTCAAAAACAGACATGACACTGTAAATACTTGCACAGCCTCTTAGGCCTTAAAATTAAAGACACTTGTACATTTACATTTGGCACAGCCATGTCTACAACTATTAAATTACACTGAGGCTTCACCTGTCAGACACCACTGTTGCTTCAAGGCATGCAAAGTAAAAAAAAGGAACAACGGTAACAATTCACAAGTGACAAAACACATGACAAAAGACCATAATATGTTTAGTCAACTGAGGCAATTGGAATATTTTTGACTTATAAACATAGAGCCAACAGACTGTATGTTGTCTGCTCCATTTTGCAGTCCTCTAGTGCTGTTATCATGTCTCCACACGCAGTCCCACCAGCTGTCTGTACATCTGTATGCTCATTTATGAGGAAACAAATAGAACTTAAAGACTAATTGAGAACCTCTACACAACACACCTCTTTTCAGGTCACTGAGGGTCAGGGTAGAAAACCTTAATATGAATGGCCGAGTTGTTGCGTGTACGCGTCATGGGCTCCCCGGCTTCATCAGGATCTTCAGGCTCCAGATCGTCCACGAGCTCCACCGTGGAGGTGTTTGCTGCCAGCTGCAGCACCCCCTGGCTGCTGGCCTGCAGCTGAAGGGCGATGTTGATCGCCCTGTTGATGGCCAGGCCCAGGCCGTGGACACAGATCTCCCTGTGACCCCCACCTTCCAGAAGCTTCTGACAGCGAGCCAGCTGAGCCCGGAAATCGGTCTTCATGTTGACGTAGACGTCGTTCCGTCGCTTTGGGAGTTTCCGGGGGAGGCGCTTCCTAAGGGTGTACTCCACTGGGTCCATCTCTACAGCCGCAGAGGAGGAGTCCGTGTGCACCGGTGCTGTTTGAGGGACAGAGGACATTCCTGGGTTGCGTGGCTCTGTCATGTTTCTCAGTGGATATGTGCTTAGGCAGCAGCTGGGGGCCACAAAAGAAAATAAAGTTAGAAGACAGAAACTGATGAAATGTGGTCATGATACCTTCCAGCAAACTTACAGACATCCTCGTGTAGCTGCAACTAACGATTATTTTCACTGTCGCTTAATCTGGTGATTTATCGTTCAATCTGTAAAATGAAAGCTAAATGTAAAAAATTCCCATCACAATTTCCCTTTTTAAACATGTGACCAACAACAACAGATCCTCACAACTGAGAAACCAGAAACTATTTAATATAAAAGACTCTATGAATCTATTATCATATAAGGTAGATGCTGATTCATTTTCTTTCAACTAACATTAACTAACAGTTTCAGCTCTGTGTCCTAGGTCCTTATAATCCTAGTCGATCAACAGAAAATTCAACTATCAACTATACTGATAGTAGAAGAAAAGTAAAAAGGCAAATATTCCCCAATTCCAGCTGCTCCAATGCTTTGATTTGCCACTGTTGTCCACAGCTTTGTAGACTGAATATGTTTGGGGCATTGACTTTATATATTTGGGGACAGATAGTTGGACAAAATAAGACATTTTGGCTTTAGAGTTGTAATGGGAATTTTGAATATTTTCTAACATTTTATAGAGCAAACGCTTAATCGAGAAAATAAAAAGCAAACTGATAGATACTGAAAACAGTCGTTTCAGTCGGATAATGTTACTAACTTATATTCACATTACTATACCACAGAAATACCATATTACGACACTGTTGATAGCATGACTGCATATCTCTTACGGTGATGTTAAAGACATCAGCAGCAAACGACAGCAATTTACCACAATAAGTATTACTATTACTATTACTATTGCTTTAAATAGAGAAAAAATGTATGTCTCAATGTAGTTTTGCCGCTACGAAGAGCTGTATGACTCCAAAGAGACAGGATAACCAAACATTGCTTTCTGCCAACTACGTGACACCATTATTCACTTAAAGATGCACTTTAATGTAATACACTGCTGAGGTCGTTAATGGGGCTAGCTAACGCTACCGAGCCCCAAAACAGTGGGTCAGTTTAACTAGTTAACCGGGTAATTTACTACAGTAAGGCGTCAACACTTTGAGTAGGTAATCCATTTGGTGAGCACACTTACCTTCATAAAATAATTTGAAATAACAAATGTGCCGCATAACATCGCTAACCAGCGGCTTTAGTGGCTTCAGCAATGTATTTTCTGCGCCCCGGAAGTAGAGTCGCAGGGAAAATACTGCCGCTTCTGGTGAGTAAAAGTAAAATACACATAATGAACACAGACTGTAGACAGGATGGAATATAACTATTCGGCAACAAACAACACCAACACACAAACACAAAACAAACCACCACACCACACACCAAAACACCCACAACACACAACACACACAAACACACAACAACACCACACTACACAATACATAGACGATGCGATACACACACACAGTACTGCATAAACGATATAGAGCATATACACAACCACACAACAAAATTACTCACAGAATACCACAC